CAGAGCAACTCTATGGATCCCAGTTCTGCAGACATACTCCTTATGTAACCTTGAGTGAATTTAACCTCTTTATAAAATGTAAATAATACATACCCTATAGGGGTGTTATCATTCCACGAGTTAAGGTGTATAAGGCATTTTGTATAGTGCCTGGTGTACAGTAAGAACTAAATAAATTTTAGCTATTATTACTCTAATTCTATATTAGGTGTTGTGTAAGTATCACAGAAGGGAATACAATGAAGAGAAATATATAATTCCCATTTTTGCTTGTGTTAAGAAACATTTTTAGGGCTCACCAAAGGATGCTGTTAAGATGATGTGGCATTTCGTATGCGCCTTGCCAGAAAATTCCGACAGCAGGGAGCTTTGTGGTGGACACAGCCTGAGCAGAGGTGGGGAAGCTGAGATGCTTGTGTAGGCAGAGAGACTGGTTTTTTGTTTTAAATTTATTTGTCAATAAGCAGCTTGTTCCATATCTGCACATTAGAGATCTAAAGTCTCTTAAGTACAAAAAGCTAGGTTCCACTCTAAGGATATTAATTTATAGTAATTAAACTCTGTTTTCACCCTCTAAATTATATTTTGGCAGCTGTTATGAAAAAGTATGTGGAAAGTTTTAAATGTTTTAGGTTTAGTGCTTTTTTTTTTTTGTCTTTTTCCGTGTCCGGCAACGGGATTGCAACCCTCGGTGTTGCTCCTGCGCCTCGCTCAGCCAGTGAGTGGGAACCGGTCTGTATGTGGGATCCGAACCCTCGGCGGGAGCGCCACCACACTTCCCAAGCGGCGCACTATCCAGTGCGCCACCGAGCCGGCCCCAGGTTTAGTGCTTTTTATGTGCATGTTATTGCATTAAATTCTCAAACATAACCCATTATGCCACAAGCCCATAAGCCATTATCTGAAATTCTGGAGGCCAGATATGTTTCACTATTCCGAGTTTTTTAGATTTTAGAAAGGTAATATAGCGTAGTGCATGTAACTTCAGACAAGTGTTATTCCAGTAATGAAACATATAGATATTTACATTAAATAGAATAACTAAGGACTATAAATAGTCTCACAAGAATTCTGATCACGTTTTTCTACAAATGGATTCTGAGTTTGGGTTTGGCACCAAAGAAATTATGAAAATTTTCAGTTTTCCAAGAATTAAGAAATCAGATAAGTCTGCCAACATGTATTAGCCATATTTGTGCCACGGTTATTGGTGGAACCTGTATTTATACTCAAGCTTGTCTGGTACTAACTCTCATGTTTTTACCACCTTTTCCACGTAAAAGGGCTAGGCTTGATTGAGAAATTGCCCTTAATGTTATTTCTGTTATGCCGTCCATGGTTTTTACACTTCTTTTTGAACCCTCACTTTGTTTCTTGTTTATTGCCGTATTCTCTGTAACTCCAGCAATGGTGGGTGCTCAGTGAGTGAGTGTTGAATGAATGATTCCACCCACAGATAGGTCTGTTTTTTCATAGCTCCTCTCATGTCAGTAGAGGTTTTCAAGCATAGTAGGATGAAAGGCAGTACATGACATCATTACTTTGTATAATTTGCTTTCTGTCTGGTTTCATGATATAATACAGTCAAAATAGGTCTGCATGAAAATGACTGTATCATTATTACACATGGTGAGAATGATTGTGAAGTCAGCAGGATATATACATTTGTGTGTGTGTGTGTGTGTGTGTGTAATGTGTGTGTGGTTTTTTCCCCTTATTTTTTGGCAGCTGGCTGATGCAGGGATCCAAACCCTTGGCCTTGGTGTTTCAAAGTTGTGCTGTCACCAACTGAGCTAACTGGCTAGGCAGCAGTATATATTGTACTTATGTGGATGTGGGGATGCGACTTGGTACTTCATTTCCTTACTAGATTTACTGTAAAAACACTTGGTTCCTTTTGCATATTTTTGGAATGGTACTCCCTAATTTTATCTAGTGGAAACAGCACTCTTATGTAGGAATTGGAAGAACTGGGTCTAGCTCCAGCTTTGCTAGTCATTATCTGGTCACATGGGAAGTCACAGTTTGGTTTGGTGTCTTGATATCCTGATATCTAAAGTATGTTTGTTTAGGGGGGTGAAAGCTATACTGAGTGTAATTTATGGTAGCCAAGTTTTCATTTGAGCACTACTTACTGGGCTTCTGTGTTGCCCAGGGAAGAACTGCCCCCCAGGTATAACAAAGACCCTCATGACACCCATCTTCTCTGTGTTGCTCCATTGTATGGAATTAGTTCCCTTTCCATTCTGGATTCCCTTTTAGTTCTGTGGCTGTCAGCTGAGGATCAGAAGAATCAGTCTTTAAATTTCAGGCATTATGTGAAGGAGATTTGGAGCAGGGTGCCCATCCCATACCTCATCATGCCTTAGTGAGGATTTTACCTCCATGTTGAAGTTTACATAAACTTCAGAGTACCATTTTGCCCTCCCAGATTTCTCTGACCCTTGTCATCCCTTTCTCCTTAGTTTAACTCATAAAAGTCCTGTGTAGTCTGATCCTACAACCCTTCAGCTTTTCCCAAGGCCCACTCTGCCCTATTGTTGTTCTCTGTGGGGCTGGGATTTAACAGATTCCTTTCTACTCAGTGCCCCTGATGAGGTTTTGTCCTTCCTTACAACTCAGCCCTAGACAAATGCATATCTGGATTCTTGCTCTGGGTAGAACTCACTGAACCAGAAAATTGGGGTGAGGTCACTGCTTGTAAGAGAATACCCACTTCCTTTCTCAGTTTGATAATTAATAGTGGCTGTATCCTGGTAGCAGTATGCATCTCACAAGTCTTTAAGGTACATGGCCCTAGGCAGAGGTCAGAGTACTGTTCTACGTGCAGTTGAGGCAACTGACAGGCATGTAATGGGGCTTTCCGCTTCCTTAGCCACAGGTTTGGACAGGAGAGAAAAACATAGAGATTCCTAGGTGAGGGCACAGCATCATGAATGTGACAGATAAATGGTTACTCCCAGCTGGAGAGAAAAGGAGCAGTGAAAAACGGAACTAATAGCTTGAACTTGGAAACTGATCTTAGATGAAAGTTTATAGACTGATTTACGCTAAGGTTTTAACTTCACTGTTTCCTCACTTGAGAATAGAGCCTTCTAACATAGGTATTTTACCTGTTTGTATGCTGTGCTAACAGTGTGTGGGTACAGGTAACAAAGTAAGATACATCTTGGAGCTGTGGTCTCCAGAGCTTAACAAAAGCCCCAAGACATTATGAAAAGGGATGTTTGTAATTTAAAGAGAGAAAGCAGGAATTTCAGGGCTGAAACATTTCCTAGATTTTTATATTTTATGGCCTAGGGCAAAACCAGCATGATTTCATATTGTTATTTCTCTCCCTAGCTGCTATAACTAAACCCACTTTGGGTTTGTTCTGTATTTATTGTTCTTCACTCATAAAATATTTTCCTAATGCAGCAGACTCACTGGCTTACAACTTAGATAATTTATTTATAAAATTACTTACAACTTAGTATTTATAAAACATCTATAAAATTTATTAAGTAGCACAGTATTTAATTGACTTGGTTATTTTAAAATGTATATCATGGCATATTTAGACCAGAGCCTAACTAACCGTTGCTTTTCACTTCAAAATTTTTGTTAAAGACATTTGAAATTATGCATGAAGAGAAAAATATTCTAGTCATTGGTCAAGTGTGGATATCTAGAATGTAAAGCAAAAACTGGAATCTTGTTTAAAACATACTCCTTTTACATGCTAACGTGTTTTTACCAACTTCATAAGACAGAAGGGATCATTTAGAAGAAATAAGAATTCACTGTCTTTGCTGCCCTGAGCCATCCCAGGTTTGCCAGTCAAGTATTTCCCTTATTCTGGGGCCCCAGGTGATGCCTCACATGAGCTCACATTTCTCTGATTTTCCTTTCTGTTCTTCTCCTTCCTCCTTTGGTGGTCATTCCCTGGGAAGCCACTTGAGGCCAGGGCCTCCTCATCAGTACTGCTAGTGCCCCCAGGTCACACTGATGTCTGCCCAGGGGTCTCCTGGGGCTTCTAAGCATGAACCTTTAAACTGCCAAAAGATGGTGCTATGTTCTTAGAAGAAATGTTCTTGGAAGAACGCTGTCTCACACCAAGAACTATGCTTGTACTTCACATCTCACAGACTCCTGAGAAGTCGTTCCTTCAACTTCTTGCAGCTCCCTTTCTCCAAAGAGCAAAATGGGATTTCTATGGAAGTGTAAGGTTAGGAACCAGTATCTGAAGCCTATTTTCCCTGTAGTGGTTTCCTTCAGGTGCCTGGCAAAAAATTTTGCTCTCTTCAGAGCCAGTAACCAACCAACCAGCCAACCAAACAAACCTTCAAGACCATCCACCACTTCATGAGCCATGCCCAGAAATTTCTGAATCCCACTTATGGTTCAGTTTAGGACTCTGCCTGTATTGACTTAAAAGATGATAGTGAACATTACCCATAGATTGCAAGGTAGTGCAAGTTATCCCATCTACAGCAATTCTGTTGTACTGTTTCCCTCACATCCACTCACTTCACTCTCTAGTCCACAGATCCCCAAAGCTGCCAAGACTGTGACCATGGGACAGAGCAAAGCCCCAGGTGTGAGGGATCAGTTAGCTCTCACCACTCTGTTGTGACTGTCTCAGTGTGGCCCAGTTGTTCTCATATATCTTATATGAAAGGAGGAACTGCATAACTGAACAGTCACTTTTGAGAGTGAATGGGGGACATTATTAACATTTATGTCAGGAAAATAAATATATTGTCACCCTAAATATGAATGAGCTATAATTTAAACATTAAAAACCTTATTTTTAACATTTTTGCCTACTTGTACAGCCATGTGATAAAACTTGATTATTCCTGTTTTTTAAAAAGTCTGGATTGCTTGCCTACAAGTTTATTTCTTAGCTCAATTGCTTCATGGATTTATCCTATCTGTTAGTATTAATTTCTAATCATAACTTGATTTTTTAAAAATCCCCACTAACTAGAATGTTTTTATTTTAATTTTCAATGCAGATGCAGAGTTTGCAGGGTGGTACAGAAGCCATAGCCCAACTGGATCAGTTAGAATCTGATTATTATGATCTGCAACTTCAGTTGTATGAAGTACAGTTTGAAATCTTGAAGTGTGAAGAGTTACTATTGACAGCACAACTGGAAAGCATCAAAAGACTTATATCAGGTATAGTGTACATTTAACCACATAAGTCCACAAAAGATTTAATACATGGGGAAAATGCATGTGGATGCCAGCTATGTCTTCTATCCAGTCTTTTAAAAAAGTCTTAACTTAAAAGAAACCTTTTAAAGGAGCTCCTGAAGTCAAACAAAAGTAGTTCAATGGATTCAGCAATGTTACTTTATGTTGTTTTTGGTTACCTGTGTAAAATACTTACTTTGTAAAGATTGCTTCAGCCAGAATCTAGATTTTCAAAAATTCTGAATTTTATGGGGGTGGGCCGGGTGGTGTTGGTGTCTAGCATTTCTTGAGCACTTACCGTGTGCCAGACACTGCTAAATACTTTGCATACATTCACTATATGGGCTGTAATTTCTTTTCTTTCTTTTTTTTTTTTTCCCAAGATGACCGGTAAGGGGATCTTAACCCTTGACTTGGTGTTGTCAGCACCACGCTCAGCCAGTGAGCGAACCGGCCATCCCTATATGGGATCCGAACCCGGGGCCTTGGTGCTATCAGCACCGCACTCTCCCGAGTGAGCCACTGGCCGGCCCATGGGCTGTAATTTCAAAGAAGCTCAAGAGGTAATTGCTTTGCTTGAGGTAACAGAGCCAGGAAATGGATTAGAACCCTGTTCTTTTTGGCTCCACAGTTCATGCTCTTAACTACTTACTCCTTGTTGCCATTCTGTAACAGAAAAGAGAGATGAAGTGGTATACTATGACACTTATGAAAGCATGGAGGCCATGCTGGAGAAGGAAGAGATTGCAGCATCTGTGCACTTACAGAGAGAAGAGCTGCAGAAACTTCAGCAGAAAGCACGCCAGCTGGAAGCAAGACGTGGACGGGTTTCAGCCAAGAAAGCCTACCTCAGAAATAAAAAGGTATTTAATCTTGCTTGTCTTCATTACTTCATCCTTGATCCATACCTAATAATTCCAATTGGATTTGTCACTAATACTTGCATAGCTTTTGAAATTAAGTAAGATTTACCTTTTTTCAGTCCATTATATTATATATGGTCCTCTGAAAATCGCCCTCTTAATGCCTTAGAACAGCCAGTGGTGATATGCTCTTTATCTTCAACCACCCTGAAGTTGACTCTGCTGAGGAGCATGATTATAGGATCTATAATGCAATTCTTAGCAGGTTCTAGCACTATCCTTTGAAAAAGGTTTTAGGGGAGAATGAAATGTAAATAAGATTTTAGAAAAGCAAACTTTTTAGAAATATTAGAAGCAGTGCTTTATATATTACTTTTGGGTATGTAATGCAGTAACATAAAGACTACTTGGTGTCTGTGAACCTGAAAGTTTCAAAAGCATTTTTTGAAAATGCTATACAATCCAGACAAAGTTAAAAGTCTGATTCATTTTAATTTAGCAATATGCTAGTCACTTTGTTAGACTTGGATACGAAGATGAGCAAGGCACAGTCCCTGTTCTTCCAGTCTTCTAGAGAAGGCAAACCAGGTACAGGTGAGTGCTCTGCCTGCTGACAGTAGAACTGGAGAATGGAATGAGGAAACCCTTCTTGGAGAAGGTGACACTTGGTCTTCATTCTAATGTCTGTGAAAGAAAGTGAGCCAAGATGCTGGTACCGTACATTCATGCTTTATTAAAGGAAAAGAATCTGTTGGGCTGTGCTCAAAGTGATGGGCAGCCTGGGGCTGCCCTCAAAATGGAAGGCAGCACCAGGTGTGGGGGTGGTAGAGCTTATGTAGGGCACCAACGGTTGGCTGATACAATAAAGGAGGGGCATCATGCTAATATGGAAACTGCAACCAGGGTGGAGAACTTCGCCCTTGTGGAAGCAAAATGGTTTCTGTTTAAGTCACCAGGCTTCTCATAAAGGGAAGGGAGGAGGGGTTTGGTGCTGGAGTGTAAGACAAGGCCAGCGGCTATTTTGTGCTTATTGTGTGCACAGTGGCGCCAGTCACATCCAAAATCCATCAGTCTGAATAGAAATTTGCCAGGTTGATTGTGTTGGGGCATAATTCCAAGCAGAACAAAACAGTGCTTAGCAAAGACACTGAAGCATAAAATAGCAAGGCTTGTCAGGGCACTATACATGGTAAGATGTGCTGCAATGACCAGGTTATGGAAGTTTTGGTGACTCTTCACAGCAACGCAGGGTGTCATGTGGCAGATGGCTTAGTAGAGAAAGGGAACTTTCTCATGCGCTCTCCTTTTAAAGCCATCAGAACCACACCCATGACCACCATTAGACCATCAATGGATTAATCCATTCACTAGGGCATGATCCTCACAATCTAATCAGTTCTTCAAGGTCCCACCTTTTAATTACCATGAAAGGATTTCCCACCCTCTTAACACTGTTACAGTGGGGATTAGGTTTCTCATACATGGACCTTGAGGGACACAATTCAATCCATAGCACCACTCTAACAAGCATGGGCTTTGTTTTGAAGGTAGTGTAAATTATTTAAAAGTTTTAGGCGAAGGGCTAATATGAACAGTTCACATTTTAGAAAGATACAGCTACATGAAAAATCAGTTATAGGGAGAAGAGACTGAAAGGTTCTGATTGGAAGGTGTCATTATCCTCAGTCCTAATAAGGTTGAGATGTTTAGAGTATGAACTGAAGTAATGGCAGTGCAGTTGGTCAGGAATGGACAAATCTGAGAAGTGTCCAAATCTGATACTTTCCAGAAGTAGACTGTCAATAGGATTTGGTGGTTTCTGGTGAAAGAGAGAGGAGGAGCTATTCTCCATTAGTTCTCAGGTTTCAGGACTGGGAATTTGAGTGGATGGTGGAGGAAGAGCACATTCGGGTTAGAAGTGATGAGCTAAGTTTTAGACTTGCATATCAGTAGTCTTAGGGCATCCAGGTGGAGATGACTATGAAACAGTTGGGCATCTGAGTCTTGTAATATAAGAGTGGATGAGATGGTCCCCAGAAGAAGGTATTGAGTAGGTGATTCTTTGAAGTGATGGGGTTGGGTCAGGGGCTGATAGGAAAGAGCAAGAGGGAGGTAGTGGAGAATGATAGATGGATAGTTTGAAAAAAGGCTTTATTATACTTAATATTATAATTCAGAAAACCCAGTACAACCAAACATTCTTTGGCGGGGGGTGTGAATACATTGGAAAGGGCACAAGTTAGGACAGATTGAGCTGCTCTGATGTAGTGAGAAGAGGGGCCTTGGGAAAGAACCCTGGGGACCATTTGAGCATGTGTGCAGAAGATGGGGATCCAAGAGAAAAAGCAGTGGAGGTTAGAAGAAGTAGGACAGTGTGAAGTCATAGCAGTGAAGAAGAGAGATGATGCCACACAGCGGAGTGGTCAGCAGTGTCAGGTGCTGCAGAGAGGTCAAGGCAGATAAGAAATGAGGCAGCTCTGTGACATTTGGTATTTGAAACTATTGAGTCCTTATGATGAGAGTGTGAGGGAGAGGGGCCAAAAGGTAGATCACAGTGGTCAGAGAGGGAGTGCAGCAGAGGTTTTGAGTACAGACCAAAGAGATGGCAGAGGGAGCTGACTGCACAACAGATAGGTGGTGAAGGGGAGTAACTTTGGTGAAGAAGGCACACAAAGGCGTGTCTTCTTCTAGTGGCATTAAGAGCCTGAATCAGACCCAACTCTTCTCTCCACTCTTCCATCATTGGCATGCATTAGCTCACATCAATTTAATCAGTATTCTTCATTCTTCATTTTTATGTTAATCTAACACTGAGGTGAGGATCTCAGCCCTGGAGAATCTGTCCATTTACTCTTGTGCCCCTGCCCTCCAAGCCCACCAACTGAGGTGGCAGAAATGCAGAGGGAAGGAGGAGTGACATAAGAAGGCTGAAAAGAGAGGAAACTGGAAACACTAAGTCCTAAAAAGAAAGGTAGTGAGAAGATCAAACAGATAAAAAAGATAAAAATATGCCTCTCCATGTAATATCATCGTATGTTCCCTTGTTTACATATTGACATGCCCAGGGTCACCGGTTCCTTGATTTCTCTGGCATCCATAGTAAGATTGCATACCCAGGAATAGTTCTGAGTAGAAGCAAATCATGCCCTGTCTTGCCTCTTGAAAGAGCAGAGATAGTGTCTGGCTGTACTGGAAGACTGGAAGTCAGTGCTTTGTGAATAAATGTTTCAAGAAGAGAAATAGATATAACATTGTTCTTCATGTATTTTATTTTTAATTCTCCCAGTAGCCAAATGAGGTAATCCCTTGCCTGAAACATATAAAGCTCAGAAAATCAGAAGCATTTTTATATTTTATTTGGTGGCTAAAACAGACCTGAAATAATGTGGCTTTATTGTCATAATCTAACTAACTTTGACTATTCATACATTTCACTGCAAAAATAGTAGTATTACTTATTATGAGGTACTTCTTCAGATCCTACTCAAGTTATTAGGTAATATGTATACAATAAGCCACCATTCTAAAATATGAAAAAAATTGATTTTCTAAACACATCTGAGCTCTGGAAAAAGGATTGTGGACCTGTAGTCTCATTTTATAACCAAAGGAACCAAGCCTTCTGGTAGTTAAGTAAATCACCCAAGGAAAAGCAGTTGGTATGGGGCAGGGGTAGGATCCTAAACTAGGTCTTCGTGGCTCAGAAGCCTGAGTCACTATGTCATGACACCATCTAATGCTACCTTTGTTTTTCTGACTGCACTGGACAGATTTTTGTTAGGCAGTAGAGTGAACCAGAGTGGGTAAAGAACAATATGGAAATATTTTGCTTTATGATACAGTTTACTGACTTTAAAGGTTATTATATGCTTTTCTCTGATTAAAAGTGATTATTTTGGTACAGCTTTGAGAATGTTGGAAACTAATGTTACATTTTTATCAGGAAGACTTCTAATGGTAGTTACATTAGGAAAGACATGGGAAAGTAAAGATTTAGCTTGGTGCCACTAAAAGTTGCTGCTAAAATCAGATTATAGTGCATTATTTTATAAAGAAGCACATATCTTCTATTTTATTATGAAATAATTGTAAAAATCTCTTATTTTATATTGTAAAATATAAAAGCGCGTGTCTCCTCATTGATTGTAAAAATCTCCTATTTTATATTCTGAATACAGTATATACATACTTTTTAAAAAAATTATAATTTTGACTTTCTAGTTTTGAAGGTATATTTTATCTCTGACATCTATGACCAGAGGATCCACATCTCATGATATTGCTTAAGCCAGTCTGGACAAAATCATGGTCTTTTTTTTTTTTTTAAAGATGACCAGTAAGGGGATCTTAACCCTTGACTTGGTGTTGTCAGTACCACGCTCTCCCAAGTGAGCTAACCAGCCATCCCTATATTGGGATGCGAACCTGTGGCTTTGGTGTTATCAGCACCACACTATCCCAAGTGAGGCATGGGCCTGCCCTAAAATCATGGTCTTTAACTCATCAAAGAGAGCTTAAGAATACAAACTTTAAGCCTACAGTTGTATATTCTTTTTTTCCCAAATTTGTTTAAGAGTAAATGAGATTAAGAATCTTATGGCCGTAGATGTCAGAGGTGGAAAAGATCTTTGAGATTATCTAAGGGCACCCCCTTCCACTCCACTTTGCCCCATCCACCCCCCTCCAAAAAAAGAGAAATCAGGAGGTCTAGAGAAGCTAATACTTTAATGGAAGAGTCTGTATAAGATCCTGATTATTTGGCTTATACCACTTTGGTAGTCCAGAGGAGAAACAAGAGATGGTTTACTTGGTACTTTGCTGTGCAGGTATATATTAAGATTAAAATTTGTCAAATAAACCTTGGTGTGGTGTTGAGTCTTTCAAGTTTCACTTTGTATTAAAACATGTTTCATGCATTTATAGGAAATTTGCATTGCAAAACACAATGAAAAATTCCAACAGCGCTTTCGGAGTGAAGATGACTATAGAACCCATCACACAGTACAGCTGGTAAGTTTGGACTCTCGGGGACTTGGAACAATACTTCATTACACATTTCTCAAAGTGGATAAAAGCTGAGGATACAGAGGCAAAATTGAGTATACGGAGAGTTTTTATACCCCCACCGACACACACAGCCTTTTTTCCCATCAACATCCATTCACTTATTGAAGGACATCTTGGTTGCTTCCAAGCCTTGGCAATTGTGAATACAGCTGCTATAAAACATCCATGCAGGGTTTTTTTTCTGTTTGTTTTTTTGGCAGCTGACCAGCATGGGGATCCAAACTCTTTTTTTTTTTTTTTGTCTTTTGTCTTTTTTCCGTGTCCGGCAACGGATTGCAACCCTCAGTGTTGCCCCCGTACCGGACCGGGACCGGCAACGGGATCGCAAGCCTTGGTGTTGCTCCCGCGCCTCGCTCAGCCAGTGAGCGGGAGCCGGTCTGCACGTGGGATCCGAACCCTCGGACAGGAGCGCCGCCGCGCTTCCCAAGCGGCGCACTATCCAGTGCGCCACCGGGCCGGCCCGGGGATCCAAACTCTTGACTTTGGTGTTATAACAGCATGGTCTAACCAACCGAGCTAACCAGCCAACCCCCAATTTTGGTATATGTGCTGCAAGAGCAAGCACCCTGCAGAGTTTTTTGTGCACATATGTTTCAGTTCATTTGGGTAAATATCAAGGAGTGCAGTTGCTGGATAAGTATGGTAAGACTATAATTAGTTCTGTGAGAAACTGCCAAACTGTCTAACAAAGTGGTCGTTCCATTTTGCATTCCCAACGGCAATGAATGAGAATTCTGATTATTTCACATTCTCTCCAGCATTCGCAATCATCAGCGTTTTGGATTTTAGCCTTTCTAATAGGTGTGTAATGGTATCTCATTATTTTAGTTTTCAGTTCCCTAATGGCATATAATCTTGAGCATCTTTTTATACACTTATTTGCCACCCGTATATCTTCTTTAGTAAGGTGTTCATATCTTTTGCTCATTTTTTATTTTTATAATTAAAACAACTTTTTGCTTTTTAAAATTTTTATTCTATTCTATTTTATTTTTTGCTCATTTTTTAACTGGGTTTCTTGTTTTCTTATTGTTGAGATTTAGCAGTTCTTTGTCTGTTTTTTGAATAACAGATTTTTTCTTTTTTCTTTTTTTAAAAGATGACCATTAAGGGGATCTTAACCCTTGGCTTGGTGTTGTCAGCACCATGCTCAGCCAGTGAGCAAACCAGCCATCCCTGTATAGGATTCGAACCTGTGGCCTTCATGTTGTCAGCACCGCACTCTCCCGAGTGAGCCACGGGCCGGCCATCTTTATCAGATTTTTTTTTGTAAATATGTTCTCCTAGTGTGTAGCTTGTCTTCTCATTCTCTTGACATTGTCTTTCACAGAGCAGTTAATTTTTTCCATAAATTTTAAAATTATTTTTTAATTGACATGCAATAATTTACCTATGTATGGGTTACAGAGTGATATTTCAATACATATATCTAATGTGTAATGATCAAATCTGGGTAATTAAGCATATCCATCACCTTAAACATTTATCCTCTTTTTGTGTGTTGAGAACATTTGAAATCTTCCCCAGAAGTTTTTAATATTAACTAAGTCTAGCTTATCAGTTCTTTCTTTCATGGATCATACCTTTGGTGTTTCTAAAAAGTCATCACCAAACCCAAAGTAATCTAGATTTTCTCTCGTTACCTTCTAGTAGTTTTATAGTTTAGTGCTTTACATGTATATGATCCATTTTGAGTTAATTTTTTGAAGATTATAAGATCTATGTCTGGATTTTTGCCAGGGGGGTGGGGGTGGTGGCATGTGGGCATCCTGTTATTCCAGCACCATTTGTTTAAAAAACTATCCTTTCTCCATTGAATTGCCTTTGCTCCTTTGTCAGAAATCATCTATCTGCATGTGTGGGTCTATTTTGGGGCTCTCTATTCTGTTCTGTTGTTTTGCCTGTCATATAAACTTTAGAATCAGCTTTTTGATACCCACAAAGTAACTTGCTGGAATTATGATTGGGATAACACCAGATTTATAGATCAAGTTGAGAAGCGATGTCTCAACAATTTTTTTGTTTGTTTTTGGCAGCTGGCTGGTTCAGGGATCTGAACCCTGGCCCTTGGTGTTATCAGCACTACGCTCTAACCAAGTGAGATAACCAGCCAGCTCTTTTATCAGAGTTTTATAATATTCCTCATATAGATGTTGTACCTATTTCGTTAGGTTTATACCTGCGTATTTCTTCTTCCCCTTTTGGCAGGGAGTGTTAATGCAATTAGTATTATGTTTTTAATTTCAGACTCCAATTGTTTCTTGCTAGTATGTTAGAAAACAACCAAATTTTGTATATAAACCTTGCTGTAACTGCTTATTCTAGGATTTTTTTTATTACAATTTTCTTTGAGGTATTCTACATAGACAATCATGTCATCTGTGAACAAAGACAGTTTTACTTCTTCCTTTCCAATCTGTATACCTTTTATGTCCTTTTCTTATTGCTAGGACCTCCAGTATGATGTTGAAAAGGAGTGGTGAGAGGGGGCATCTTTGCCTTGTCCCTCTTCATAGCAGGAAAGCTCAAGTTTCTCACTATTAAGTATGGTATCTGTAGGTTTTTGGTAGATGTTCTTTATAGAAGTTCACCTCTATTCCTAGTTTGCCGAGAGCATTAGTTCACTTTATGTAAAATTACATTAGAAACCTTCTTCCATTTTCAGTATTGCTGTACATAATCATGCCTACAATATATTATCCTGATAGTATTTTTTTCTGACACATATATCTTAAATTAGTCAACACCAGAAAATATTTAATTAAATACCAGAAATGCCAACATGACCATATCACTGTATTTAAAATTTTTTCTTTCTTTAGCATCACACTAAAGGCCAACGGGCTTACATTTGTCTCTATTACCCCTTAAGGTCATTCTGGCACATTTTAGCTAAAGCTGTCCCTTACTCTTGGTTTTAAACACATAAAATTAGCCAAACTGCCATAAACTTAAGATTCCCTTTCTCCTGCTAGCTAGAAATAGCAAATTAATTAATGCACTTTTATTTTTCATTAATATCTTACTAGGTCAGAAAGTGCTTTGTATGATTAGACAAGTGGCCAGCATAATAGTTAGGTGAATAAGGATGCCCCTACTATAACCATCTGTACCTGCATTACCAGCTTGTTATTGAGGAATTGTTCTTTTTTACATGAAGATTTTGGCTTCTGATGAAATGCTAATGCTTTGATGGAGGAAGTAACTAATTAACTTTTTTAAATGAGTAATATTATTTCTCAAAGAGTTTTGCGGGGCAAAGAGAGGTGAAAATGAGAAAATTGGAACTTAAGGGAATCTCAAAGATAAATGTCATCTGCCCTGGAATTTTGCCTAATTCCAGCCTCCGGTGGAATATCCAGTTATCCAAGAATGAATCCAGTCATCTTTCACACACATAGGTAAAGGAAAATGAAAGTTGTTTTAGGTCAAAATAGATCATTGTTTTTCAAAGCTAGTTTTAAACCACCTTTATCAGAATCTCTTAGGTGGTAGATGTTTAAAATGTATGTCCCTAGATGCTAACCTTATTATTTCAACAATTTTCCCTAGAAATCCTTGAAATTAAATATGTAAGTCTAAGGAAGTTTAATTTTGACAGTAAACTTTCCAGAACAAGATAGTTAAAGAAAACATGATGACTACATGCTTATTACCATTATTTTTGTTTTATTAGCTCAGAGATAAATTGGATAAGAGAAGAAAATCGTGGTCAGGAAACAAATCAATTTTCACCATGAAAAAATGCTTTCTTATTTTTTGTAACCACACTCATAACTCCTGGGCTTCACTTCAAGAAAGCACACATGGAATACTTTGAAGCTGTAGTTTATGGACACTGTGATCAGAACTTTTTATTTTTCTCACAATGACTTCTTTTAGCACTACTTAATTCCTCCATGCTCTGGTATAATGTTCCCATCCAGTAACTGCCCCTCCAACCCTGCCCCGCCCCAAAGTAAATTAACTTCATTTTACAGAGTCATTAAGTGACTTTCCCAAGGTTGTCAAGGTAGTTAAGGGGGGAAGTGGTATTCAACCCAGGCCTGTCTGTTACCAGCTATGCTCTTAAGTATAATACCACTGTACTATGCTCTGCTCTATAGAGATTTGATTTCCCCACACAAGCTAATCAGTTTATGCCTCAGGAGTCTGAATCTTTCCCTTCTCTTTCCATCTTGGGTCTTTTAGATTATAGTAAGTCCTGACTTTGTGTCTACCAGCTGACAAGACCAATAGGCTTATTAATCAGTTAATTTATCTCTGAACTCCATATCCAGCTGTTTTATACATTATGTTTAGAGATGCAGATTCACAATTGAAAATTCAAACTAAGTATCTCTTAAATAACGTTTTTTTCTCAACAACTGAGCACCAACATCTACTGGATAAAATATTCTTCTCTAAGTATAGAAAAATCTAATCACCCCTAGAATCAGTGCTTACTCTCTAGGACTTAGACTCTTTGTCCCCTTGGGCATTCATGGCATATATCTGGATGTGGAAAGCTGCACATTCACTCCCGATTCCAGATGGTTACCAGATGTGCACATGAGGTTTTAACAGTTCCTTCCTTTTGCTGACTCAGCTGTGTGAGAGGGTTGTATATTCCCACTATGTGAATGGAAGTGAGCATGGAGTCCGGGTGAGGAGGTGGGATGTGTTCTTGCCTCACTATGTCCTTGAGCCATTGTAAGCTTTGCTTTCTACAGGGGAGAATCCACATGGAACCTTTACAAATCTGCTTTTAATGCAGAGCTCATGTCATATCTTCTCTTTGTTTTCCCATTAAGATTATATATAGCAAGTCTTCTGGTATCTGGGACTATTGAGAGATGCTTGATTTTTTTTTTTTTCTTTTTAATCTAGTAATAAACGGTCTTTGAGAATTCTTACGACCTACTCTTAAGAGAACTCTCTAAAGGCAAAAGGTCATTCTGGCCTTCTATAAGAGGAAGAGATCAAAGAACGTTCTTCTTTACTCACCATTAACTTTTTGGCCCCCCCGCTCCACCCCCAACCAATGAGCTCATCTGCATCCAAAGGATCTAAGACACAGAAAGTGAAACTGATCTCTGCTGTGGGTGATAGTTACATCCCTTTAGAGAACAGGTGGGCTATCCTGGCACTCTTCTAACTACAGATCAGTCAACTGTCCTTCAACCATAAGGTTAATAGAACACTACTTGCAGTCTTCATCGTTCTGCCAAGAATTTCACTTTAGTCCTTGACACTGTCTCAGCTTAACTTCCTATAGTGATGGGCTGCACAATTTCTCAAAAAAAGTATTTATATATGGGTTAAGCTTGCTGTTCTGAAGATAGTGTGTGCTGTTACCGAAGCAGTTCCTCCTTGACACAAATCCAGGTTAAGTGTGTGTCTTAATACCTCATTAGATTGTTTCTTCTCCCCAATCCCTAACTCCAAAGTGCTTTCCTCTTGCGCTCCCAGTATGGATTAATGGTACCAACATCCATCCAATGATACTCAGGTTAGATAACTTGAACTCCTCTTTCTCACCACCTCCACCAGGGTCAGATGTCTTCCTTGGTGCTTGACAGCACTAAACCCCATTAAACATACCTACTTCTCACCTTTACTCAGATATAGCTCTGCTTTTTTTTTTAGTGCTTAATAAGGTACCTGGATGGAGTGATAATCAGTATGTTTGGTGAAAGAATGGAATTTCTTTATCTGAAGCAGTCTTTTCCCTGCCATTTTACTGTCTTAGATATTTTAACATGCTGTATGACTTTTTCTGTATGATCTTAAAAAGTTTTCTTGGTTTTACTTAATATTTTCTGAGTTAGTCCTATTATCTAACCAAGGTTTTTTTGTTGTTGAATAAATGAATTTGATCATATATCAGATGTTAAAAACATACCTTCACTGCTACTTTTAAAATCCTTCTATTATGTGTAGTTTTTTTTTTTTGTCTTCTGTCTTTTTCCGTGTCTGGCAACGGATCGCAACCCTCAGTGTTGCCCCCGGACCGGGGACCGGCAACAGGATTGCAACCCTCGGTGTTGCTCCCGCGCCTCGCTCAGCCAGTGAGCGGGAACCGGTCTGTATGTGGGATCCGAACCCTCGGGCGGGAGCGCCGCCGCACTTCCCAAGCGGCGCACTTATCCAGTGCACCACTGGGCCGGCCCTATTATGTGTAGTTTTAATTAGTAGCTTGCAAAATAGTTTCTCAATCATTTTTTATACTTAAAAAAAAACCTTATCATGTTTATAAAAAGAGTTACATGATCAGTATAAAAGGTTAAAACGGTGAGGGGAAAAATTACAAAGAAAGAAAATCCACACCAAAATCCATTTACATTTAACAGGAAAACCTAAATGAATCTGAAAGAACTACTGGAATTTACATAAATTTCTTGACGACAAGATGATGATTTGGAAAATGATTTGAGTGTTGGTATCATAGTTTTAAATTGTTTCAACTTTAGACTCATACTGTGAAAGATGAAGAAATTATTGTCCTTATATTTTCTCCCACCTTCCTTTTCCCTTTACCTCCCAATATGCTATGAACCTTTGTCATGTGAAAATAATTAGGTAAACTTTTAATTCTTGGCCATATAGTAATAATTCCCAGAGTTGTTTAGATTCCGTTTTATATTTACATGGATTTAATGCTTAGTGCTAGACCTCTTAACACAGCTTCTCCATTCCTATAGACTCTCTATTGAGTTTATCTTGATTCATCTTGGAGTTGGTTAGATTTCATTAAGGTACTCTTTCAGGAAGGTTTCATGGTTGCTGTATTTTCTTAGTTCTTGCATGTTTTAAGAATGCCTGTTCATTTCTTTTCAACATAAAGGATAGTTTGGTTGGGTCATATAGTCATTTTCTCCCCATCAAAATTTTGGAGACATTGCCACACTATCTTGTAGCATTGAATGTTGAAGTGGAGGGGTCCGAGGCCCTCCAACCCCATGTGACACTTGATTTTTTTGCCTAACACCCAAAAGAGTCTTTCTTTATTCTGGAAGTCTAGTAACTCTACCAGGTGGTGATTGTGCATCAAGTTTTCCTGAATCTGTTAAGTTTTCTCTTTAAATAATACTAATGGTGTCCACATCAGATTCTGTCTGATGTTTTCTTCTAGCTAATTGTTACCTTTCTGTTCTTTTTTTGTTTGTTTGTTTGATGTCTTCAAGGCAGTCTCCAGGGCCTGTTTTCAGACATATCTTGGCTTCTGTTGTTGCTTTCATTTAATAGCTGTCACCATGCTCCCACCATGTATGAAAGTAGAGATCCATGTAACCCCCTTTGCCATTCATGAGGCCCATGTGGTTCCTTGTGTGATTTGTGGAAAGCCCTTATGTCACAGGCTGTCTCTGTTGATATTTGGAGATCGTTGCATGTCCTCCTTCCTTTTCCCTACCTCAAACCTGCAGTTTCCCTTCAAATGGGGGGTGGGGACAGATTGAAATATTTTTTGTCTTGTTTTTCCTCTTGGTCAAAATTTTATTGATTTTGGCAGGTATTTATCGTAATTTGTTGCTTGAGATTGATATCATCTTGTTTTATTTGAAGGTAGTTTTTCTTCTCTAATTTTCTTTGTTTTCAATTAATTTAAAGGAAGGAAAGAAGGGTTAAGATTGCCTTTACTCCACCTTTATTTCAAAGGTGCCTTGTCCATTATTCAGTTTAATAATTCTTCTAATGGTAGTTCATTTAAATGACTTGAAGAATGATAGTATCATTGCCCTGGAAGCATTTTCCGTCTTTATTAGTGGGGTTTTTTTTTTTTTTTTTTTTTTTTTTGAATTTTTTTGAATTTTTGGGTTTTTTTAACCTTATGCCTCTCTTAGTTTTGGGTACATGCTAATTTATTTTCAGGCACTGACTGAGAGTTTTTTTTTTTTTTTTTTTTTTTTTTTTTTTTTTTTTTTTTTTTTTTTTTT